ACACACACACATTCAGTTATATCCTGTAATTGACAATAATATATTAATGCATAATCAAATATTGTATGTACGTTAGACTTTTAAATTATGCTAAAGATACCGATTCTTCTCTAGCTCTTTCTCTATAAACCTTTAAGAGTTTGTTTATTTTTCAGTCGTTGAAAATTACACCTCAGGAGCGGCTTAAGAAGAAAATGCAAGTCCTGTTAAACAGGCAGTGTGAGTTGATGTTTGAAAGAATAAAGGACATTATGTGTCCTTTATTCTTTATAAAAGGCAAATGTAAAATGAATTCTTTTAGATAAAGCTGACAAGAAGGCTGAGCAGTTGAGAATCGAGAAGATGGAGCAGCAGAGACAGGATCGAGAAGATGAGATTCGAGAAATGTCTTTGAAACTACGTAGAAAGTAAATAATTTTCATGAATTGTGATACAGCGTAACTTTTTAAGTATAACTTAAATAGTGACGTGAATGCTGTTTCATTTTTCAGACAGAGAGAACGAAGACATCGTTACGAAGGTCATAGTTCCGACACACGATCTTCTGTGTCTCGTACACCAAGTCCGAGCCGTAGTCCAAGGCATCATACCGTACGTCGCGATAGGCGAGACACGGATGGTGATCGCGAGCGGGATAGGGACAGGGACAGGGAGAGAGATAGACGCGATGATCGCGATCGGAGTAGAACAGAGTCGCGTAGGAGGTACAGAGATTCACCACTTCGTTCATTGAGTCCGAGGAGCAATCGGTAAAATTTCCCGAATCTGACGCCTAGAATTGCGATTACCGAGTTGCACCGATAATTCACTGGATATTTACTGGACATTAGCGATTATCTCTATTAGTACTGATTATTAACACAGAGAAGATGATTAAGCGGAGATCAATGCTGATTCGGTGCAACTAAATATAACAATGTACATTTTATATGCTGCTAAAAAAAAAACCTATGCCATTTTACGTTATTGCAGAGGCCTAGTCGACTATTGACTTCAGGACACACGCTTACTCTTCCATCCAAATGATTTGAAACCGATATTTTGAATATTGCCCGTTCAATTGCATTCCTTCCTTAAATCACTGTTAATATCCAAAAGAATTGCATGATGAGGAAAAAGTATACAGACCTGCCAAGATTGTTTTAAAATGCGTCTTGAATTATATATAGCGTGATTTAATCTTTACAATATTATCAAATAAATGGAGGTATTCGTATATTATAGTTTTGCTTACACAGATTAATTCTTTGGTGCTTATGTAAGAATTAGAAAAATTGCGATGAGAATAGCTAATAATGTTATCGCGACGATCATGTCTACAACTTTCATTTCATACACAAGAAGGATGAGAATACAATCTTATATTCTAGAATTGAGTGCACTCTTTTTATTATGTATCTCTCTTATTGTTATATATAATTCTTCAATAATAAAGATGTTTATTTCACAGCAGGGCAAAGTGATGATTATTTTCTATACCTCTTATCATATGATATCAAAGATAAAAGATCAAGGAATACGATATAATCTTACACCTTTATGTACAATCTAAACAAGTTATTTTATTAAATTCGCTGTAAAATATATATAAAGCGCGCGCGCAAGAATATAGAAGTCGGTGAAATGGAATGAAATAGATGTGTTATTTGAGCGTTAGAGAAAAGAAAAATGAGAAACTCAAATCTAGAAAAATGAAAATAAAATTAATGAATCTAATATTGATTGTTGGAACTTAGAACATGTTTAAATATCAAAAAAGTCTAATTAATTTTAAATTATAAGCTTGATAAAATATTTGATGACATAATTTGACGTACAATAAAAATAACTGCTTCTATTGTCTTTGTTAGTAGTCCTTCATCTACCAAATATGTGTGCCTTCCAGATATTATCCAGTATACTTACGGATGACGAGTGATCCGTGCAAAAATCCGCATAAACTCTTGGCTGGCACTGTACTGGAACTACTAAGAGAGAGAGAGAGAGAGAGAGAGGGGGGGTCTTGCTTGTAGCTGAACTCGATTTGTATAGTTGATCTTTCCTCTTTTTCTCTCCAATATCTGATAGTATCATCTATTTCATTTTAAGTGCAAAAAATAATATAGTGCAGCTACACACACGAACAGAATCAAATATTACAGTGTCATTATGTCAATCCTGTTAGTCGATTAGTAGTTTTCCATCTGCTGGTGTATGGTTAAATAAAATATGTATATGTACATATTTTGCATAATCTAATCACTGAATTGTTAACTTACAAATTATTTAGTCATATTAAAGGAATACTAAAATGGCACCAATAAGATTTGCAATTTTAACTGGTAATATGCTATAACATATTTCTGACATTTACGTGGAATATATCAAATATTTGTAACTTATAAAAATTTAAAAAATTGCAAAATATTTTAATCATGCACACGTTTGAAAATTAAATATGATTACACATTGTGCTTTCATGTCGTTAATTTATAATCTTGTGTAATAGATTATAGAATATAATGCAATAAGCCTTCATATAAGAAATATTTTTAATACATCTATATATATTACATTCTTGAATTTTAATAATCTTTTATAATATTTTAGTGAGTGATACTTGTGCTAGTGGTGAAAAAATAGATGAAAGTGGACCTGAATTAAAAGCATTTATCAACAATGCAGAAAATATACTTCAAGGAGATGTTTCTTGCACTGCTATTGTACAGGATGATGAAACATCAATAATGAAATATTTAATCCATTGGAGTGATGAAAATAAAGCTGATGTTATTCTCACCACTGGCGGAACTGGATTTTCCGAGAGAGATGTTACACCTGAGGCAACTAAAAAAGTTATTCATAAAGAAGCTCCTGGATTGTCTTTAGAGATGCTCATGTCGAGCCTAAAAATAACTCCAATGGCAGTACTTTCTCGGTAAAGTAATTTCTTTTTCTTATTTTGTAATCTCTTTGAAGTTACAACTTTTAATATGTTTTCAGAGCTGTATGCGGAATACGACATAAGACACTGATTATTAATTTACCCGGTTCACGTAAGGCTGCAATAGAGTGCTTGACTGCAATCGCATCTGCAATTCCGCATGCCGTAGATTTAATTTTGGATAATAAAGCAAAAGTTAAAGATACACATAACATTGTGCAACATAATATTACGTCTTGTTCGCATCATGCTTCTTGTACAAATCCAGTGAGATTTTTTTTTATCAAAAATGATTTTACACAAAATTGTATAACATAATTAGATTATATATTCTAGATGAGTTTCGAGAATGTGGCAACACGCCTCAGAGAATCTTCATTTCCTATGATATCTGTGGCGGAAGCACTGCGCATAATACGCTTTGAGAGTACAAAGGATGTGGAGGTGGAAATAGTAAATTTGAAAGATGCTTACGGCAGGATATTATCAGGAGAGACCATACGTTCCAATTGTGATTTGCCACCATTCAGAGCTTCCATGAAAGACGGATATGCGGTTTTAGCAAGTGATGGAAAAGGCAGAAGGACGGTATTGTGTGGTGTGAAAGCAGGAACTGCAGTAAGTCGCAATAGCAAACGCTCAACACGATGCAAGAAAGAATAATTAAAGAAAACTTTTTCAGCCCGCTTTGGTATCTCTTAAATCTGGCACTTGTGTACGAGTGAATACTGGAGCGCCCATTCCTGATGGTAAATAATTTCTGATGGTAACTGCAATTTACTTACAATAAAGAATTTACATTTTCTGTCTAATTGCAGAAGCAACAGCGGTTGTACAAGTTGAGGATACAAAGCTAGTGTCAAAGAGTTCTGATGGAACAGAGGAAGAAGAAATTGAGATAATGATTGAACCGAAAGAAGGACAAGATATTAGGTACGAGGTTTAAAGATGTATCATCTATACAATCCTTGTAAAAGGTTTTTGGACATTAGAAATGCATTAATATTTATACTTTCCAAAAATAAATACTAAAACTATATATGTATATCAAACATTGTGTGCATAACATCATATTCATTTAGTTAACAATACATTTTTATAGTTTATTAATTTTTTTTTTATTGTTATAATACTTCTTTAGAAAATTATGACAATTTCAATTTTTTTATATAATCACATAATAACTTTAAATAATTAAGATTATTTATGCAAAGTTTTATTGTGATTTACAGATTTGTCCGGTAAATAAAAAGAGTTTAATAGAATAAATTTTATTTATTTGCAGAACAACTAAGGACTTATGATCAATTTGTGAATTGCAATAAAATTTTACATAAATAATCTATTTAAAGTACTTATATATAATAAAATTGAAATTGTTATCATTATATTTTTTAAATTAAAGTATATAACAATAACAAAGAATAATAAATGCAGTAAGTAAATTATAAAAATAAGTTGTGAAATAAATAATAATGTTGTTTAAATAACTATTTCACATGTATATAATTTTAATATTTAGTTTTATATATGAAAAGTATAAATATTAATAAATTTCTAATTGCAAATTTTTGCAGGGACTATATGTTAGCTGGTACATCTTTAAGGTTCCTATAAGTTTTTTCAAAATAGGTTTTATTTTATTTAATTAATTATAGAAATTTATTTGATTATTTATTTATGTTATTGAAGACCTATTGGCTGTGATATAAAAAAGGGAAGCTCAGTGTTAAATCCGTTCACAAGAATTGGGCCGGTGGAAATAGGAATACTAGCGGCTTGTGGTTACAAACGCGTTGCAGTTACTTTACTTCCACGTATAGGTATACTGTCTACTGGAGATGAGTTACAACAACCTGGAGAACCTTTAAGACCAGGGCAGGTCTATGATAGCAACAGAATAAGTCTAATCTCATTATTAAAAGAAAATGGTTTTGATTCTTTGGATTTCGGAATTGTGACTGATAAGTATGTCAACATTTATTATTTCTATAGTACAATGATTCGTATTTATATCTCACTTTTATATATATTTGCTCATTTATTTTTAAAATTCTACAGGGCTGCGTTCGGATTCCCGGGTGCTCCTCGGGTGTCATGTCATCCTTGTTTAACGTTCGGTAAAGAACAAGGATAATATGACATCCGAGGAACACCCAGGTAGGAATCCGAACGCGGCCCTGTATATGTAACGTGAATATATATATGCTAAATCTTGCGTTTATATGTAGATAAAAGTAAGATATGAATATATGTATATTTCAATATCTTTTTAATTTATTAATATAGTTAATTATAAATAAAGAATTAACATAATCTCATTATCAATATAACCGTATTATAGCACGATGGACATGATAAACAAAATCAGCATAGCTTTAGAAAAAGTAGATATACTTGTGACAACAGGTTCTGTATCAATGGGCGATAGAGATCTATTGAAGCCTATTTTAGAGACCATTTTTAAGGCTACTATACATTTCGGTACCTTCTTTTTTTAATCATCTCTATGTCAATACATGTTTCTTAAATAAAGTGTCAAAATATGTTTTTTTTTTTTTTTTAGGACGCGTAAACATGAAGCCCGGAAAGCCAACGACATTTGTAACATGCACAATCTTAGGTAAAAAAAAATTTATCCTATGCCTGCCAGGAAATCCAGTATCTGCTCTTGTTACCGCACATTTATTTCTCTTACCCCTTGTGAATGAGCTACACTTTGATGCTTCAGAGTCAATCATAATGCAAGCTAAGGTTTGTAAGATAGTCTTGATATTTTGCAAAACAGTGCAAATGCGCATAATACATAAAAACGTTGTTCTAATATCATAGTTAACATCATCGTACAATTTGGATCCGCGTCCTGAATACGCAAGAGTAATCTTGAGGTGGAATGATAAAGAAACACTTCCAATGGCTTACAGTACAGGAAATCAAATCAGTAGTAAATTACTTAACTGTAACGATGCTAATGCGCTTCTAATGCTGCCAGGAAGAACTGCGGAGAAGCAGGTGTTGAATAAGGGTGATGTTGTACCAGCGAGGCTTATTAGTTTTAAATCTCGACTAAAACAAATTTGGATTAATTATACATTGAATTAAATATACATTTAATGTACATATTGTGCAATATTATCAGAAAATTATTTTTGGGATACTCTTTATAGCTTTCTGTTTTCCTTACAATAAACTTTTCATAAAAATTATGTCGCTATTCTCATTAATTTTCATTATATGCTACTAAGCTATTAAATTTTTTATGAAAACTTTTTTTATATCATATTTAATACATAATAATTTTAAACATTCAAATTTTTTTTCTGAATAAAAATATGTAGAATAAATAGATTCTTCTTAATGTGTAGAATAATAAAGGTATGTAGAATAAATAAACTGTTCTTGTGTGTCAAAGGCGTAAGTTAAAATTCGCCAAGAATCATATGTGAGTTACAATCGTTCAATAATAAAAGTACTTTTTATGAAAGATGGATTTTGTCAACGTATGCATGAATTTATAGCTGACAAAAGAATATTTCTCACATATATATATACAATACACTTAACTCTTGTTCGTGTAGCGCGCGCATTCTGAATGCACACAGGCTGCGTTCGCTAACAACGCTGTGTCACTATTCTTGTTTCACGTTTAATGAAGATAGAATGATACAAATAGCGCTAATAGCGACGCCCGAACCATAATATGTTGTCACGATCAGATTGGTTGTACTATCTCCATCATTACTTACAATTGGTTACAGTTAACGAGGAAAGCCTATTGGCGCTAAAAGTATCATTCTATCCAGAGTTGGGCATTTTGTAATCGATTACTGATTACACGATTACAAGTAATGTAATCGTAGTATTGACAAATTACGATTACATTTGTAGTAATCGTAATCGTCCACGCAGTGATTACAATTACAATTTCAATTACAAGTAATTGATTATCGAAAATAATCGATTATGCCCAACTCTGATTCTATCTTCATCAATCTTCATCGTCTTTCAGATGTAAAACAAGGATAGAATGATAAATTAGGATTAGTAGGCTTACAAAGGATTAATAGTTTGTTTTTTTGTTATATATTGAGTGCCACTGAGCCAACATCGAATATTAACATTTATTCTTCTTTTTCGAGGCATATGAGGTTGTATAACTATCTTTTTATTTTAAATAAACTACATGAATTGTAACAAAGGATCTCTTTTGTGGCTGAACTAATGTACACTTTTGGAACTTAAAAATGCGATAGGTATACGCATGATGGAAAGAATTTGGATAACATTTGAATTTGGGTAACATTTGAAATTGACTGTTCCTGTATAACCAGCGCTATTGTACGCAGGAAAGTGCATATTGGGGAACATTTGATTGGTTATTTCCAGTATTTCTATTGCCATGATGCGCAATGTTTCATCTTATAATATTTGATGAAAGCAAGAAGGAAAGTTCTAAGTGCAGTCTAGTGCAGAAATGAAAGCAGTTGTAATTTAGCCGAAAATAGGTCAAGTTTATGTCTATATTTCTCGGAATTCTTTTTTGCGCATATTCTATAATATTCCGATACATCGTCTATAATATTTTAATACGATAAAAACACCTATTGGCAGTGGCTAAATTGGTCCTGTGAAGGCTATGGAGGTTCGGATTTCGGAATCTGTGTCATGTCAGTAGTTAATTGTGATGAATCAATAATTGGATCCTGTTTTCTGTATTAGACTTGCCCAATTTGTTATTTGCTAATTTCGAGCATTTCGAGAAGAGGTTAAAAGTACAAAAAATCCATTGCCCAGTGGAGTAACATACCAAAATCATCCAGACTTGCTTACATTCAGAGCGTTCACGACAGTAGGAAGTTTTATTCTCACCGGGACAAATGCCGAAGAATAAAAGCAAAAGTGCTTTTTTTTTCTTCATGGCCGATTGGAAGAAACGCGAGGAAGCGCATGGCCGAGTGTTTTCTAATGGATTCAAAGACGTTCAACAGGATCCAGAGTGTAACGCGGAATGGCAGGTAAGTTTACAAAAGGAGGGAGCATCGGTGTAATTCCGGCAGGCTAAGTTTTTGATACAGTTATTAGCCTGGTTTACACCGTGCGCTTAGGCCTATATGATAGGCTTTGTTCAATCTATTGGTTAAACAAGGACGCCTATCGTACAGGTCGCGGACTAAGCGCACGGTGTAATCGTAGCTATTAAATTGGCTTCCAGCGTGAAATAAGTTCTATTGAGAGCTCAAAGCACTTGGCGGGAAACTGGATAAGGAGGAGACTGACTGTTTTAGCTACATTTGCTCTTTCTTTATATAAAAATATAATTATCTAATATATATATATATATATATTAGGAAAAGAAATAGACTAAAACTAGATGCTAATTTAGTATCTTAATAAAAAAATTATTAATAAATTATTATTAAGTGGAATCATTAAGCCATAGAAAATATGAAAAAAAAATTTGTTTTAAGCTTATGTAATATATATTAAGAAATTACTTTTTTATTTTCTAACAAGTATGATATTGTATAATTCTAAGATCTTATATTTCTGTTAAAATAAAAGATAGTTTTAATAATATTAATGAAAATATAAATACATGTTATTTTTTAATAATAAATTCTATAGCTCTAAAATAATATTTTTTTAAATTAGAAATATTAATGATTACAATTACTCATAAGTGTTTAGCATTTATCTGCTATAAATGATTTTGATGAAAAAATTTATTTTATATATTTTCATTTAAAAATAAATATCCTAATTTTTTAAATTATTATGTTATGACAAAAAATAAATACATCAAAAAATACGTTAACGATTATGCATTATTGATTTACATTTTTCTTTAATTTTGTAATAAATTATTTATTCTTTTGATTAATAGGGTTTAACTAAACAAGAAAAAGGTCGTTTTGAAGCTATGGCCAAAAATGATAAAATTACATCCCAAATATCAGACAAAGGCAAGAAAACGTCACTTGGAGAATCACTAATTATGCTTCAACTAAAAGAGAAGGAAGCAATAATGTTTATAAAAAATATGCAGGAAAACATAAAAGTAATAATCGACACAGCTGTAAATCTTAATTGTACGTATGTTATATGACACAATTTCTTGTAGAAATTTGAAAATAATTTTTATAATTAGAATAACAAAAATTCAATTGTTTCTGAGATATAAATTTTTTTTGTATGTTTTTTATTTAATATGGTGTGTATTATCTCCCATATACTAAATGCTGAATGGTTTTTTGAAAACACCCTGCATATATATATGTATATATACATGTATATAACACCTATGTATATATATATACATGTATGTGTGTTTATTTATGTATATTAAATATGTCATTAATAATACTCTTAAATAATTTTTATAATTAGAATAACAAAAATTCAATTGTTTCTGAGATATAAATTTTTTTTGTATGTTTTTTATTTAATATGGTGTGCATTATCTCCCATATCCTAAATGCTGAATGGTTTTTTGAAAACACCCTGCATATATATATATGTATATATACATGTATATAACACCTATGTATATATATATATATATGTATGTGTGTTTATTTATGTATATTAAATATGTCATTAATAATACTCTTTATTATTGCAGTTTTGGCAGAACTGAAATTTTGTTTTGTACATGTTAACTGGTTTTTCTGTATGATTGTTAACAACACTCCTCAATATTTTCCTGCTGAATATACATTTGGAGTTTTCTCATTGAAAAACGGTATAGAAGATGTGCATCATACTATTGTCAGTGCTAAGATTCCATTAGGATATAGACGGGAAGCGTTGGAGATAAGTCAGAACAGTCATAAAATACCTGTAGAATATGAAGGCGGAGAGACTGACTTTGCTGTTATGTATGACAAACTAGCAAATTTCCTAGAATCTAGGAAAATTGTGGATCAGTATCCTTATCTTTTTACAAGGAAGACTTTCACACGAGAAGCACAATCCTTGATAGCAAGACTGTGTGATGCAGCACGTAAGTGTACTTTTATAATAAAAATGTCACATCACAATATACATATATATACTTTTTACAACAAATAGAAACATTTTAGATGTGCCTTATACCAATATATGTTATTTAAATAAATTTGTTTCTATTCCAGAGCAAGATAAAGAGCAATTTAAAATTTATGAATTGGAGTCATTGTTCGTACATTTGGCAAATGAATTATTCAAGAAAAGAAAAGATCGAGATATGGATTTAATTCCTGTTTATGCTCATAAAATATTTGAAAATTATACGTACCGATTTGATAAAGGATTTGAATGTCATGTGAGAATAGTTTTATTATTTTATGATGTTATAAAGTGTATTTTATTCATATTATATCATTTTGTAATATTAGTTTCATAAATACGTTGATGGAGGACCTGAGTACTGTAGTACATCTGTGCTGCAACAATGGGCATGGACATTATGCGATGAGTTTTGTGCACCACTTAATATCGAGATGCAACCTGGAATACACCAGCCTGATAGATTTGATAGAAATCCTAATCATTTCGACAAGCGAAGCTTGGTGTCGATGATGAACAACTTGCGCGTCAGAGATGTTCCTCAAGCTACAGCTGGGACCGATGGAGTTTTATCTATGACAGGCGTAAGTACACATAATACCTTAAAAATATTACTGTAGAGATTTATACATGGACAGACACATTACATATACTTGTTTAAATAGTTTTATAAAGTATACATAATACTACATATAGTGAATGATTTTTGTTATCTTATAACAGGTAAGTGAGCAACATAGATGGAACCGTTCTAGTAGAACATATCAAGAAGAAATGCGTCGTCGAAATGAATCAAAACCAGTACAAGTTATTGATTGTAGCAAATTTCAAGACGGTACCAGTACATCTAATGATAAATCTTCTATTACCGAGTCTGCTAGCAAACCTGCTAAGATATCTAATGTAGAAAGGACTGAATACGTATGTATTTTTTATATAACTTTACATTAATTGAAAAATATGTCGTTTATAAAAATTTCATATTATTTCAGTTAAATGAAAGACCATTACGACCTCCAAATATTGATCGTAAGTTGAAAAATTTTGCTTAAATTGAAGATGAATG